GTAGTGCTACTGCTGTGGCGATTTCTTGCTTCTCAGAAAGATATCTAATGTCCAAATTAGAAGTAAAACTTTGTAGAGCTTTGGCTCTGGTTTCAAACAAGCACTTGGCGAGTTGCTGTGAATTATCAGGATTGAAGTGGGAATATTCTCCAAAAAAAAGTTAAGAAGTTACATTTTGTTGCCCTTTCGTCTCTTCCGCCAACGCTTACTCATTTTTTTAATCCACATACAGTAGCGGTCAAAAGTTTGGAAACTTTTTTAATTTTGATCTAGCGTAGCCAATAGACAATGAAATTGCCCCGAATTCACATACTATATTCAGAATCTAGTGTAGACCACGATGGGTAACATGATTTTTTGAACTGGTATCGCATTTTAAAAATACGAATTTTTATAGGAAATGGCGCAGAATAGCTCTCAAATCCACATGATAAATTAGTCATTCGATGAGTAGCTTTGAATTTCTATCTTGGCGTCGTTTTTATTGACATGGTATTGATTATAAAATAATTTCAGGATTTTTAAGTCGGGCCTCATACACTGTGAACGAAAGCACATTGTTTAGTGGGACTCTTAACTGGAACATGTCAATTAGACTTCAGATCTTGACTTGGTCGCTTCATAACAGCTCCTTTTTCAGAGTTGAGGAAGGAGGCAGTGGGGAGGTAGGCCTGCATCGGGTTATTTCCATAAAAGAAAACCCATCTTTCCCAGCTAGTTGTGACTATCTAAGGTAAGCATTGTATTCTACAGACTATACTTGTACTTAGCCCAACCCACATTTCGCTGGATACCTAGAACTGTGGAATCGCCAAATGGTCGGACACATGTTCATCCATGACAGTACTTCCACTATTTCTGACTGTTGGAATCTCATACTCAAAATGAGGTTCCCATTTGACAAAACACTTCACAGAGTCCACTATATTATTTCTAGGAAGATAGAAATCTCATTGGTCGCTGAGGACAAAGTTTCACTTCTTGGCTCCGGTTCATGTTAGCCGTTAGAGTGCGGAAGCCAGTTGGGCCATCCTGCCCTTGAAGCCCAACGACGGCTTCTTGTTGTTACACCATCCATAACATTGACCAGGTCGCGGCTGATGTTGGCGTGCACTTGGACTTTAATATGGTTAGTAAAAAAAACCAAAAAAATGTCTCTTAGTTGAGAATGTTGGGGGCACGGGACGTGCCAACCACCTTCCGAAGTATTTGAAGAGACCAACTTTCTTGTGAAGATACTTTTTTGTGAATGATAATCCTTCTTATGCTTATTCGACTCTAATAACGCTATAAACATTCGATAATATTGCTTTCGTAGAGATTGAACTACTAAGAATCAGTTTCAATTTCGTACCGGACTGTAGGGTTTGAAAAAGGACCCACATGGAAAAACTGTTTTCTTTGCATATGAATTCATTTTGAAACTACACATTGCTCAATGCTTCAACTAAAATTAACAGAAACAAGTAAACATTGAAGAGTAGGAATCACATTGATAAGGTAAACGAAAAGTTTCCAAACTTTTGACGCGCCATTACTTGAAAAAAATCTTATTTCTCAAATATGATTATAGGTTTTTGGAAATTGTTCTTCCCGTCGTATTCTGAACTCGATTTTGTATGGAACATCTAAATTTGGGACAATTCGTTGTGTATCGGCCGTGCTAGATCAAAAATAAAAAAGTTTCCAAACTTTTGCCCGCTACTGTATATTTTGCTATCCGCATGGATTTGTATTTTCTTCTTATACTCTTTTTCATTTACAGAGTCATGAAAATAAGAAGGAAACAATGAATGAACCCAATTCCATGGCGCTAAAAACTTCTGCTAAATTAGAGCATATCTGACCTTGCGGTGAACCATGCCATTCATATTTATGTTATAGTGTAATCCACATGAAAAATGTAAACAGATTGGAAAGTTGTGCAAGCGCGAGAAACAGTAATGACTTGATTGGGTCGCGCAACCGCGTAACGTCCAACGTAGTGTGTTAAAAGGGAGTAGGGATCAGAGCCAGCCGTCGCGTTCGCACTTTAGCAAAAAATGCGCGACCCCCCTCCCCTTAGGGAGGTCCCGTTACGACCCCCCCCCACCAAAATCACCCCGGCTGTCACCCTCACCATCATAATCTATTGTTTCTGT